ATTGCTAATTATGATAATAAAAATGCTATTCGGTTTTATGAAATTACATTGAGAAAAATGAATAATATTTACAAAAATAGTAACATTAATGTTGTTAATGTGTTTGATTGTATTAAATGTTTAATAATTTATATTACAGATAATATTGAAAAGTTTCATAAATATTCAAAATTTAGAAAAACTATTATTTGTAATTTAATTGGTAAATTGAATAATAATTTAACGAGTTACACAATAACTAATTTTGAATTGACTTATAATGATATATGATTTTGTAAAAATAAAAGTTTAGTTTTAAAAGTTTTATTTTATAATATAATATATATATTTACATGGATGAAGGATTAGAAAAGATTGTTAAAAACTGAACAAGGTTTTAGAACAGAATAAGAATATTTTAGAAATCTTGCAAGAAATGGAAAAGAAGAAACCAGTAACAAACAGTTATCAAAGTAAAGAAGTAGATAGAACCAATGGGGAATATAAAAATAAAAGAAATATTTATTTAAACAAACTTAATAACAAAGAAATTAAAGAACCGAAGGCTTCAACTATGACATTTTATCAAATTGACTATGACGAGGAAACGCAACTTTATTCATAAAGTTGCATTTACTCATTAGTGATATTTTAATGAGTATTTGAAGGGAAACCCAAAAACCCACGTTCAAAATGCTCGCTTGCTCTTGGTGGAATGCTTATTTGCTCATGGTTGCATGCTCATATGCTCATGGTGGTATGCTCATATGCTCATGGTGGTATGCTCATATGCTCATTGTGGTATGCTCATATGTGCATGGTGGTATGCTCATATGCGCATGGTGGTATGCTCATATGCGCATGGGAGCATGCTAATTCTGGTGCTGTTTCAACTGAGACCGTGAGCACAAGCAAGCACAGCATCAGGCATTGACGGCTCCATGTTGTTGGATGCACCGCCTTGCTTCTTACCCATGGCGATTAAAAAGTTTCATGTTCAAAATACATTGAGAGATATTAATATTATTTTTAAAATGATGTATGAAAGAAGAAAGATTTGTCAATTAAATTATTATCCTGAACTGAAATTATAATCATAATATAATAATAACATGTAAAATATTATATGTTATAATTATACTAAACTTATGGTTAGTTTCTTATTTTTCTTAATGCCTTAAAAATGACTTAAAGAAATAGTGCCTTAATATAATAAGAGGAAAATGAACGGTGATAAAATCAATAATTATATCAATAAAAAAATGCTATGATTGTTGTCACTTCAAAAAAGAAAATATGGAATTGTATAAATTGAACTTACCTAATGAAATAGTGAATAATATTATTAATTATTCAATGGATGAAGAAGATTTATGTAAAATTTGTAGAAATTGGAGATATTATCAAGAATTAATCAGATGTCTGTTGGGAATAAAAAAGAATTCGACATAGAAATGTAGAAGATGATATTTTAATATTTCTAACTGTAAATAAAATACCACCTTATGATTATGTTAAACAGTTTCTTAAAATTAGTAAGAAAAATATGAAATGATGGATGATATATTATGGTTGTTGTGTTATAGTCAAGGTAAAGGAGAAGATGTTAAAGAAAATATCAAATTATTTATTGAAAGTAAAAAGTTTAATGTTCAGAATACAGTGAGAGATGTTAATATTATTTTTAAAATGATGTATGAAAGAAGAAAGATTTGTGAATTAAATTATTATCCTGTACTGAAATTATAATCATACTATAATAATAACATGTAAAATCTTATATGTTATAATTATACTGTACTTATAGTTTGTAAAGATTGAAATATTTTATTTTTCCTAATTTGCTTGACTCTTTCAAAGTGCGTTGTTTGAACTTGGTATGCTCTTTTGATTTTTTCGTGCTTTGGCTGTTTGTATTTTATTTTGTTTGATACTCTTCTGATATTTTTTGTTGGTATGTTGCTTTGTTTTTGTTGATGTGTGTTTTTGAGTTTGTGTTCTTTGATGGTTTTTATTTTTGCTGTTTTGTTGGTATGCTTGTTTGAATTATTTAATGTTTTATGCTTTGATTAAATATTTTGTTGGGGGTTGTTCTGGTTTTTTAGTTGCTTGGTGGTTCTTATCTTGTTTTCTGTGAATTTTGCTGATTTTGTTGTATGCTGTTTGATTATTTGGGTTTAGTCCTAGAAGTGCCATTTTATGTATTTTTTGGGGGGGGGGGGGGGGGGGGGGGGGGGGGGGGGGGGGGGGGGGGGGGGGGGGGGGGGGGGGGGGGGGGGGGGGGGGGGGGGGGGGGGGGGGGGGGGGGGGGGGGGGGGGGGGGGGGGGGGGGGGGGGGGGGGGGGGGGGGGGGGGGGGGGGGGAGGGGGGGGGGAGGGGGGATGGTGGGGAGGAGGGAGGGGGGAAGGGGGGGGGGGGAGGGGGGGTGGGGGGAGGGGGGGGGAGGGGGGGGGGGGGGGGGAGGGGGGGGGGGGAGGGGCGGGGGAAGTCCACATTAAACTTATAGAAAGCATATCAACAAAAGCAACACAGAACGCACCGCCCCCATGCCGAAGCATGGTCCATTCTGGACCAGGCATGGGGTCGGCGGATTCTGACACAGCTCCAGTCGGAAAGGAAACCTTCGGTAGTAGAGGGCGCCTCTTGGTGAATTCATGCTGCATGACAAGCTGGCTTTCAGTGCAAATGAGAAAGGGAGTGCCATTTTGCCGCAAACCAAAGAGCAAACCGTTCCAAGCACCAGCTAGTTTGGAGGCGTTGCTGTCCTCTTGGGTGAGGTTGGTTGAACGTAGATGGATTCCGCAATTTCAGCTGGGTTCTAGTCATGTACTTGTACCATGGAATTTTCAGACCTTTATACAACAGTCCAACGAGAAAGTTCTCAAGGAAACAGTTTGGATGCGGCTTTTGTGGATGCTTGCCCTGTAGGATATGATAAACAGTGTGCTAAACGAATACTGAAAACGGACCAACAGCGAGCATCCACAGAAGGCGCGTCCAACACTGTTTTCAGATTGGCCATGTAGTTCTAGTGCAATGTCCCCAGTTTCCCTTGTGGGTAGTTCGGGGCGGGCGGGGGAGCGGAGGGGGTGGATGCAACAATCCACGATTCACAAACCCTTTTGGTTTGGGTTATTGAAAAGTTATTGACCAGAACAGAAGGCTCCATGTCTTCTTTACCTGGGCCACTTCAGCTTGGAAGGCGGACTTGGCTTGGCAGCACGACCCTTTGCGGCCGCAGATCCAGCGCGCCTTTGAGGTCGGCTGGTGATGGGAAACACGGGGGTCGCATTTTTTTTGCACCCCAAGGTAGGCTTCAACCCAGGAATGGTTGACTTCTCCAAAACAAGAGACTTTGGCTTGAGTCGTTCTTGGGAAAATCAACAATTGGAGCCCGAATGTGCAGCTCCCTGTTGTTGAAGGGGAGCCAAAAAGGAAGCCGAAGCCGGATTGTGGTGAGGGTGCATCCTGGTAGCAGACCTTGCAAATCCACGTCAAAGGATGGAGCACATTTTGCAGCAGCATCTAGTTTCTTGCCAGCGTTGGATTTGGTGATTCAAAAAGCCGCCGGTTTATTCCAGGGAAAAGGTGATCGACATTTTGAAATTGGTGGCATTCAGTCAACCAGCCTGGAATCCTCAGTCGGAATTGAGACGCCCTGAGGTGCAACGGCGTGTTTCAGTGTTGGGGAAGGTCATCCATCAAAAGCAAAAGAGCAGAGAGAAAGCTGCAAGTTGATTTGCAAGCCTGCCGCCAACACCCGCCTCGCGTCCCTGGTTAATCCATCCAGGACAGAGATCATGGGGAATTCAAATCAATGCCCCCAACATGCATACCAATCAAGGACAGCTCCTACCAAGGGACCGAGTCATGCCATCAGCATTTTCAAGGACCGCAGTGCCCAAACAGAAGTTCAAGACAGGAAAACCGAAGGGCATCAAAGCAGCCATGCAACCCCAACAGGGCTTTCACAAGGAAATTCTAAGGATGGGTTTTCTGGTTTTCAGGTTGAGTTGCGGAGAGCTCGGGGAAAGCTGAGGGTTCACCTTTCGAGCGGCTAGGCCTCTGAGCTTGAGCGGCTGCTGAAGGCCATGTTGGCGCCCTGGCGGGCCGAGGCAAGCTTGAAACTGGTTCAATGAAACCATCGGCGTCATTTGCGGCCATGAAAGTAGATGTATCTTGCCCTCATTCTCAGCGGGGTGTTTCCCTTTAAGCCGTGAGGGCAAAGCATGGACCCAGAGGAGCAGACATCATAGAATCATAGCATGTGCACATTAGGGACCAGACCCTTGAGAGGAGCGTCAACATGAACAAACTGCACGTAAGACAAAGCATGCCGCAACCAGCTGACCGGCCAACAAGTGGGGGTTCCCACCTGCCAAATCGGATTGGGATGTGTGGGTGTCCTTCCTTTCGAATGCCATGTCTTCCTTTGAGATAGTTGCCATGCTGACACCATGCCCCGCGCAGCCGCTTCACCGGCTCAGCCCAACTCACGTTGTTTGGTCAAAACTAGCTTTTCTGCCCGGCGCTCAGCTTAGCATCGGAGAGGCTGGGTCGTACAGTTTCAAAGGCGCTATTGTAAGTGTCATCTTCTTGTGGAAGACGTCGCCGTTGATCGTGTTTTGCGGGTGCACAGCGTCAACCGGATTTCAATGGGGATCACCATCAAACATGAGTGGTGGACATGAATCCCCAATGATTTTCAAAAAGGGGTGCCGGGGTGCCCAATTAAAACTCACTCCCATATTTGTAAGCCCCCAGCCAGATCTCTTTGCTGCAAGCCCCAAGGATTCATGAGGCTACTCTTTGTGAGCTGCCTTTGCCTGGCCACGGGCAAGCGGTTTTCCACAGGCGCGGAAGCTGGATTGCACGGTTCCACTTGACTGTGTTGGGTGACAAGCGCGTTCAGTTCATGCTTCTCCCAAACTCGCACATTCAGCTCTTTGACGGACTGTCAGAGAGCCGTTCTGAACGAACATCCCTTCCGGATTTGCTTGATGGACCCATATATATATATATTTATACATATTGTATGCGTGTTTGTTTGTTTTGTTTGTTTTGGTTTGGTTTGGATTGGTTTGGTTTGGATTGGTTTGGTTTGGATTGGTTTGGTTTGGTTTGGTTTGGTTTGGTTTGTTGGTTGGTTTGTTTGCTTGCTTGCTTGCTTGCTTGTTTGTTTTGTGTGCTTTTTGTCTTGTTGTTTCGTTTTTTGTTGATGGTGCCCGTTTTGGGTGGCAGTGATATTTTGAGGGGTCTGTAACTGATCCGGGGCGGGCATTCGTTAGATACCCAGTTACAGACCTATGTAACGTAACAAGACGTGCTGGCTCGTCACGCACCGCTCGTTGCATACCTTCGTTGCATACCTCACATTAACACATATTAACAGAACCGCCGGGCTGGTCGTATGCCCCTCGTTGCATACCTGTCAACCCGCAGAGCGCGAACAGGCAACGGGAAGGGGCCGGAAGAAAGAGTCCTCTTTCTGCGCTATACCTCGTTTCGCGCCTCGTTGCATAGCCGCTACATGCCTCATTACAGACCCAACCCCAGCCCGGGCCAGCCTTTTTGCCGTCGAATTTTGCCGTCGAATAGTCGCTTGTATTTGGTTGTGACTTTCGAGCTGCAGCTCCAGCACTTTGTTGTTCTGCCCCGCATTGTGCTACTGGCACTTGTCAAGCGCTGCTTTCCCGTTACGCACCTGCACAACACGGACCCCGTTACATACCTCCGTAGCAAGATTCGTGCCGCGCTTCGTTCGTGCATTGCATACCAACATCATATATACATATACATACCTGGAAATTGATTCGGTTGAAATTTCAGCCGGAATTTGAGCTGCCTCAAGTTCTAGCCGAAGTCACGACAATTCGCCGCAGCCAGAAATGCTAGCCGGAATCGGACCGCTCAGGCTCGACTCAGCTTCCTATTCAGAAAGTTTCGCCGGAATCACGGATTTTTGTTCAACAAGCAGCTAAAAAATAAATATCATAATCATGCCCAAAATGCCAGCTGAAGAACTGCCGGAATTGACTGAAAGGCTCAAAAGTGGCCGGCAATGCAAAAAGGATACCCCTTTGAAAAATGCGATTATTTCGAGGCATTTCGACGAGTTTCGAGGTGTCTATACATATATATATATATAGTGCATATACCATTATGTATGATCCACTTCTATTTATACAATACATACTTGCAGGGAATCCAGAAAATCGGCGTCTTGCCGCAGGGCGCTCCCAAGAGGACCTGGACGTGGATCGCGCGGATTCAGACCTCGTCACCTGCACTGCCGCGGAAGTGCTGAATGTGGAAGGGGCTCCGGAAGGCGATGAAGCCGTGCGAAAGCGGGCAACTGCCACGGGATAGCTCAACCTAGGTTCGGCTCTGGTAACCAGCACGACTTAATTAAACCCGTGGATGTCCCCATGAAAACCCATTGGGGGTGAAAAGCTTAAATCTACCGTAGGGTGCCCAAAAAGTGGAATCCTTGCTACAAACTATTGCATAGTGACTCTTTGGACATGAGCACATACTACCACAGCCCATGTCAGGTGCGCTCAAAATTGCCAGTAGTCTATGGTTTATTTCAGTGGGACCTGGGGGAACCCACAACTTTTTCCACAAGCCCGAGGTTTAGGGGAGACAGGCAATTCGGAACGCGGCTCATGTGATGAAGCCTTACAACTGTCTTGCCAGTCCTGCCAGCAGAAAACATCAGGCGATTCAGCTGAGGTTCAGTAAATGTTGGACGGTCACATTGGGCAGCTTTCTGTGGCCCCGCAGGTTTTCTACAACCCAGGAATGCACTCGCATCCACCTATCGCCTCTCCACAGGGGTCCCTGCTTGTTTGGACCTCCAAAGTGGCATTTTGATTTGGCCCCCCCCCGCCCCCCTCCAGTAGATTGCCACTTGTGCAGGGAGGAAATCCAGTGAGCCCTCTCGCCGTGTTTGGGTTCGCCAGATTTCCAGAACCCGCTGGTGGACTTGGATTCTTCTCATCGGCTTTTCGCGCTGCTGGGCACCGGGGTTGACAGCAGCGCATTGCAAACTTGCACCTCGGCCAGACGTGCTGATTTCGCGCCATCCCAAGCCACAGAAGAAATGAGCAATCAGCGCCGGGGTGGATGAAATGCAGGTTTATAGGGAACAGTCCCAGCCAAAAATAGGTGCGGCCGCTCCTTTCATTCTGTACTCGCTTGATGGTAGACAGCTTAAATACCAGTTTTTGATATGACTCAGCTGGAGTGACTGGTCCTTCACAGGCCTTTTTAGATCCGATGCAGGCCCGGCATTCCACTCACTGGCCAGACCTGTTCTTTGACCCCAATTGATGCAGTGTTGTGGACGCCATGGCGTCCACCCTAAGATTGATTCCAGTGCATCTAGACACCACTTTAGCAGGTCGCCAAGACTTTTATCTCTTGGTTTCACATGATGGCTTCCCCTGCATGGCTACCTAATACAGGGGTAGCTGGGTCCACAAGAGACTACTTGGAATGACCGATGAGGTGCTTCCCCAGTCAAGCAGGATATATGTCTGCCGTCAACATCGCCTGCCACTCATGGTGTTTTGTCTTTCCATGAGGGTCTTCAGAGTGCGCCATGATGGATGGAATGGTAGCTTGTGGCCAAGCTCCATACGGCTTCAATGACACGACCAGACTACCAGCCCTCCAGCGATCTCAGGCAGCGCGGCAGGTGAGTAGCAGCCTGCCTTCGAAGACTCGCTGACGTAATGCGAAGCAAACGGATTAACTTGGCTCGTGTTTTCCCTAGCTCAGTAAGAAATGGACCATAATGCTGCAGTTATGATTTCCCAATTGGTCAGATTTTGTCTCTTGGGAGAGCTGGCCTTGGTTCAGATTTACGGTAGCTACTGTGACCTTATCAAATCTGGACGAGAATTGAAATGCAACGGTTCTTGGAGAACAAGTAAGTCTGGTAGAGAGCATATTTTTGCATGTTCCCCTACTTATTTACCACGAGCCTTATTCGCTTCTTCACACCATTGCCTTTGACTCAAATATTCCCAAATTCGGACCTGGTGGTGTAAGAGCTTGCTCAAGCTGGCTTGAGTCTTCTGGGAATGTTTGTAAAAGAAGACGGCACTCGTACGTTGTCATTTGGGCTTGTTTCTGTTGAGGGTGCCCGTTTTAAGATGATTGAAGCGGAAACCAAAAGTAAAACCACAATTTTTGTGTCCCCCAGTTTTGACACACACCCATTTATTGTCTTCAAGTAACCACCAAGCACTGTGAACTTAGGCTACAATCTGCATCGCAAACAAACCAGCTGGAAGTGTCTCGGCGGGATATGAATACTGATTTCTCGACGTACCTCTCCCCCTCACAGCTTCCAAACCTGTTTTCATGTTGCCATGTTGTGCCCTCGGCCTTTTGGATGGCTGAGAGAAGGTACTCCACAAAATATGTCCCGTTGGCTTCAATGCATGTCTCCGAGCATGTTTTTTCCCCAGATAGCTGAAAGCTATAGGGGTTCTAACTTCTAATAAAGAAGGGAAAATGATTTGCAAGATTGGCGGTCGGGTGCTAGGGGGATTGCAGTTTGGGGTGCTGGTGGATGCTGTTTTGCGAGCTTCACGGCCGGGTGCTAGGCTAGGGGGCATCCAGCTTGGGGTGCTGTTTTGCGAGAGTGATGGCCGGGTGCTAGGGGCATGCAATTTGGGTTGCTAGCGAGGCGTTGTTTTGCGAGCTTGACGGCCGGGTGCTACGGGGCATGCAGTTTGGGGTGCTAGTGGAGGTGCTGCGTTCTAGGGGCCAGGGCTGGTGACGGCCGGGTGCTTGAGAGATCTTGAGTCTTTCTGAGTTTTGGTGCCTTTTGCCAGCACAGGGATCGGGTCAAATGATGTGACTACGCGTTTTACTGTAGTTAGCCTTGCAGTGAACAACATAAATAGAACTGCCAGCACGAATAGAACACCATACTGCGGCTTGCAGTCTATTCGAGGTCAATAATGTCGGTATGTGAGTAGTAAAGAGTCCCCGGCCCCTACAGACAGTTTGGTGTACAAAGATCATTAGTCATTGTTCACCCCCAAACAGTCGGCCCTGAGTGTTTCGGGCTTGGCTTCAGCTTTGCCTTTTGAACTGCATTCAGGACCGGCTGGGGGTGTAGGAAGGGCAAGGTTGGAAACGCTTTCGATTTGCGGGTTGGTTCCGGTCAAAGCTTGCGAGCGTTGCATCAGAACGTTGGTCTGTGAGTAGTACAGGGGACTAGAATACTGCAATGCCAACTTACGTCTCGACTGTTCAAGGGGACGCAAACTTCCCTACTCCCGCCCAAAAGAAACATAAACCACTGATTGGAAGTTGAAGCATCCAAACTTGACGGGCCTGCAGCTTGTCTCATCACGATATCAACTATCATAATATCCGCGACTGTCAATCAAAAGCATCCAGTTCCGCACTCAGCCGCTGGCTTTTCGATCGCCTGAGTGAGGCTGACTTGGAAGCAGAAGGTCATGGACAAGTTGGTGTCGCTTTCCACGACAGCTATGGGTACCCGCGTTCGAACTTGTCGCCTGCCTGCAGCTTGAAGCTTTAGTCAATCACGCCAGCTTTACGAGACAAAGCCTACCGGGAACTTTGCCATATGTGTGATGTGCAAAGGAAGCACGCTTCAGGTGTTGTCTATCAACCAGTGCCACCTTAGGATGCCGTGAGCGTGTTCGTTGCCTAAACTGATGCGAACCAGTCAAGTTAGTGAATCAGGTCGTCCCAAAGACAGAGCGGCCAAGCAGAGCTTGCAGAATTTCAATACGAGGTGTTTATTGGAAAAGATGTGGCAACCTAGGAATGCTGCTCCCCCATTTGCCCTTGTACTCCATTTACGCATTTCCCGTTGCTTTCCATGAGCGGTTTGGGAGCCGAGCCGTGCTGCAACCGCTGATGAAGAACATCCTGGACTGGGGCCAAGACGCAGGCGAGCGACTGATCACCTGGGCCTTCGAGCACGACATCCCCAGCCCCTTTTGCAGGCGGAACACGTGTTTCGCAT